TCATTGCCTGGGGGGACCAATTTCACTGGTGCTGCATTGCATACTGTTGCTTCTGCCCCAAAATCTTGTACTACAGACCTGAGCCCAGATCACACAGGTCCCTCCCACTGTGTGCTAGCATCACCAATACCCCACACAATCAAAGCATAAAGAGGAAAGTTTAATTTTGGCTCGGAATTTTGCAGGTTCAGTTCATGACCAATTGGCCCTGTTGCTTTAGGCCTGTGGCGAAGCAGCACATCAGAGCAGGAGCACATAATGATGCCATCTTCTTGGCCAGGAAGCAGACAGAAAAGGAGGAGGAAAAGACCAGGGTCCCACATTCCCCTTCAAGGTCACACCTCAGTGACCTATGGATCTCCCTCTTACAGGTTCTACCACCCAACAGTACCACCCTGGGGACCAATTCTTTAACACATGGGCCTCTGGGGAAGATTCAAGATCCAAACTCTATCACCCAGCTGTCTTCCAGCACCTTCCTCTATCACCCAGAGAATATGACTGCATCTGAGGGTCTCTTGGATAATTTCTCTCCTGTTTGCCTTGATGCGAAAATCCTGTGCAGTGATGATGAGGATCGAAAATAAAATAAAAATAGCAGCTGCTAATTACAGAGTGCTTTATCAACTCATGGCGCTCGTGAACTTACCTTCTAGGTGGATATTAAATAACCAGGTCTAACAATTGCTAACTTCAGCTATGACAGTGCTCTAAAGGAGAGGTCCAAGGGAGGCCTAGTTTCATCTCGAAGAGTCAAAAATTGTTGTTGAACGTGAAACCGGACAAATAAGCAGGAGTCAGCAGGTGAAGGCGAGAGAGAGAGCTGGGGAGGAAGGAAGTTGAGGGTTTAGAAATATTCTAAGCAGGAGGAAGAGCATCCTTCATTTCTTCAACACGTAGCTGCTGAGCATCAGCGATGCCCAAGGTGTGGAGTCGCAATAGTGAACAAGGTGCAAATCCCTGCCTGCTTGGAGCCCGAGTGGGAACACATCAGCGGCACATGATTGCAGTCAGGGATAAGTGCTATGGAGATAATAAATCAAGGTAATGGAGTGGGAGAGGGGTTGATTAGCATTTTAGACAGGGCAGCTAGAGAAGATGAGAGGCGAACTCTCACCTGAGACTCGCTTTGCAGATGTGCCACGAGAACGCCCCAAGCCTAAGGACGAGCAAACACCAATTCCTCGAGGTGGGAAAGAGCTGGTCATGCTGGGCAGCAGCAAGAGGCCCGGTGTGCCTGGGCCTAGGGTCAAGGTCGAGTACAGTGATTTTTAAGGTGAGAGAGAGGCAGTTGCCCCGATCATGGAGGGTCGGTCTTGTAAATGCATTTTAAGCTTCTGTAATTCTGGGTCTTAGCTGGGTTGTAGATTCAAATGGAATATTTCTTGGAAAAAGTCCAGGATCCCCCAGTTCTTCAGCGAGGAAATGGGCTTCGCCTGGTTTGGTTCGCCTGAGCTGCAGAGGCAGAGAATTTTTCAGTGCCCACCCCCCTCACTTCCAGCCATATATCTTCCCTTATCACTCCCGTCCGTTTAGCATGAGCCATACACTCCACTCCAGAGGAGAACTCTCACTTAATTAATTTTAGATTTAAAGCAACAAGAGGTCCTTATATTAAAAACGGAGTGGGGGGAGAACAGCTTGTTAATTAAAATGTCAGTTAGGGTGTTCCTGGCGAAAACTATGATTAGTGGGTGTTTCCTTTGGTTACAAGCCCTGGCGCTTTGATATTTCACGTATGAATTTAAAGAACCTCACACATGTGCCCAGCACCCCCCGGAGACAGGCTACATTTCATGGTAGTTTCAATGGGTCATTCTCTTGTGCAAACCCCAATGTTCCCCAGGACCTCTGGGGTTGCACCCCAAGCCCATCTTTGAACCCCTGGATCCCAGCCCTGTAGTTTGGGAGGGGTCCCCTCTCTTCCTCACGGCATGCCATTTTCACCAGGCAGCATCTGGTCTCTCGTGCCTTTGCAGAAAACCTCTTCACTTTTCAGGGATTAGCATCATCTTTTTCGAACCCTTATGGGATGTCACCATCAGGAATATTTGTCCCCTCTTTCGGCCTTTACAGCACATTGCCTATATCTTTCTTAGAATCTGGGTGGCAAAAGTAAACTATGATTAAAAAAACATTATCATGTATCCTATCCAGGTACCTTCAGAGAAGAGTAGAGTCCATGAAGGGTCCCTTGTTTGTGGTGTTGGGGGATGGACGTGGGGAGGCTGGCCTGGAACAATGGGGGAAGTCTGTGATAAGCATTTATTCTTTTATTTATTTAAAATGTTGTTTTATAGTTGTAGATAGACAGCATGCCTTTATTTGTTTAGTTTTTTATGCGGTGCTAGGGATAGAACCCAGTGCCTCACACATGTTAGGCAAATGCTCTTCCTCTGAGCTACAGCCCAGCCCATGCATTTATTCCTGAGCATGGAGGAGCTATAGACAGGCTTAGGAATGGGGGTGAAGATCTGGACTGCTACTTCCCCACCCCCTGGGCCCCCCACGCCCTGTTATATCATGGGTACATTCTAAGCTCTCCATGCATCCAAAGCTACGGCTCTCTTAAAGCCTAATGTCCAGCTCCATGGAATGGGTGGTCAGCATGAAGGCTGAAGGGAGAAGGGACGGGGGAGGGCCTGTAGGGAGAAGGGGCAGCTGCTGGCTCTGAAGAGGAAGTTTGGGGGGCTATGCGGAGGAAATGAGTGTTTCATTGAGGATTTTTAAGTTTCACACGTGGTGTGCTATGTAATCCTCTCTCCTTTGTGTCCCCAGGACATCTTTAGCAAAACCTCTTAACTCACTAAGGCTTTGTGGAATTGGATTACCTTGCTTCTAGAAGGGTAAGTATCAAGGACTATGAATGTCATGCCAGCTGTCAAGTTTGTCTGACACAGTGTCGTGGATGTTGGCAGAGACGCAAGACTCATGACTAAGACACAGGATTCGTGGCAATAGCAGTAGTCAGAGTATCAGCATGTGTTGGTCCACAAAGGGTGACCACAAGCAACGCCAACTAACACCTGTAGTACATTATAGGAAAGGAATCTCAAGTCCTCATAATGAGCAGTAAGCCTACTTTGAAATAAGCCCTGGAGAGAGACATCTCGACTTTGTTGGACAATCAGAAACCTTCCTGTTGCCCTAGAGAGAAACTACCTCTAGCTCCAATACTGCATATCATACAAATATCCTTTGATAGTCCCAAACAAGTGCCTTTGCTTGTGATATATGTAGAAATGCAAGAGACCCCTGGAGAAGAGCATCCCAGTACCAATCCTTGCTTCATGTTTCCCATCCCTTACCTCCTCAACCTCCATGATGTGTGGTCTCCAGCCAGTCCAGATCTTTACCCCATTCCTGAGCCTATTTATCAAGCCCTAGTGACATCTGGATCATGAGTTTTAGAGTATGCTTTTTATTTATTTACTTCCCAGTACTGAGGATTGAACCTGGGGCTCACACATGCCAGACAAGTGTTCTACCAATGAGCTACATCCCCATTTCTGGTATTCATTTTTAAAGAGTTGCTTATTATATATCGTATCAGTTGGTTATTGCCAAAAAACAAACCAAAACTCAGGCATAAAAAACTTATTTATCCCTCCCTGTACATGAATCTGGGTCAAAAGCAGGTCTTATTGATGTGGGCTAGGGCCAGGCTGATTCTGGCTATGCTTTCTTACATTGCTTTAGTCCAGGCTGGGGCAACCAAGCAGGTGTGGCTCTGCTCCATGTGGATTTTCATGGCACACAAAGTTCCCAGAGCCTGAGTAGCCCCAAGCTCCTAAACCTAAGCTGGAACTGCCCCATTTTCCAGCCAAGGCACAACACAGGAACAGCCCGGATTTGAGGCTTGGGGAACAGATTTCCTCCTGTATGAGAGGGACCTCAAAGTCACTTTGCAAAGGCATGTATACACAGGCAGAGAGTGCTTAAGGCTATTTTTTTTTCAATCAATGAATTGATCAATCACATTTGCTTTCTGTTCTGGAATTTCAAATCCAAGATGACAGGGATTATGTTCCATTTATGTCCAGGTCTGGTCTTGGTGACTGGTCTGGATTGCACATAGAGAAGGTATGCCTGATGGATGAAGGTACACTAGGCAACAGGAGGGATGGACACTACAATAAGAAGTTTTTTTCTTTGAGAGTTAGATGCTCCACTGGGGAGAAACACAGGGGGAGATCCATGGTTTCTGCCCCTGATCACAGCTGCCCTCCCTCAAAGCATGGTTCTCTTGGCATTTCCCCACCAGCTGCTGCTGCCTGGACTGCTCTACAGCCTGTTACTGCTTTGCCTGCCTCGACTCCTTTCCCACTGTCCTCCACCTCGGTGCCAGAATCTTTCTAAACTGCACATCTGACTGCATCACTTCTCAACTGAAATCCATTGTTGACTCTTCAAGGCCAAGGAGATTACCTTCAAGGCCCTAAACTCTTGAGAGTGGGTCCTGCTGTTTCTCCCTGCATCTCCTCCACTTCCGCTATACCAGGTCACCAGATTTCCAGCATCGAGTGCCCTGCCCCCTGCACCCTGGTCCCAGCTGTGCTGCCTCTCTGGTTCTACCTGGAGCTGCACCTCCCTCCTCTTGGCCCTGGGGCTCCACTCTCAGCAGCTGTTTCTGGAAGGTCCCAGAACCTTTGGACTAAAGGCTCTCCATCCTAAGTCTCCTCCTAGAGGTGGAGGCCTCTCCCCAGCCACCTGCAGCTTGGTACTGCTGGGGTGTGGTGGGGGAGGGAGATCTCCTATTATCTTGGATTTTCATTATTTTAGTGAGTTACTTGCTTTATTTGTCACTTAATTACTGTTTACTGAGTATGCTTGTAGCTAACATGTATTTATTTACTGTGCACTTTGTCTAATTTTAATAATTTCCCCCCTTTTCTTTTCTTTATATCAGTATTGTTTATCTAATAATGCATGATTAGGTAAAAATAAATTTTTGGAAACAATACAGAGAAAGTAAAAGTCCCTTGACATTTCATCCTTCAGAGATAACCACTGTTGACAGTGTGGTGTATATCCTTTCAGACTTTTGAAAAAACATTTGTGTAAATATATATGGATGTGACCCAAATATATCTAAGAAGACTTTAAGGGCAGTCTCTGCTCAGCAATCATCCAGGAGCCTGAGGAATAATGTAGATTTTTATTGTTGGTTTCCTTGAGAAGGTGGTGCGGGGCTCTTCACAGCTTTCTAAGAGTCAGCTCTAGACATCTCTCTTCTCCCTGAAGTGTCTCGCTCACAGCACCTGCTAAAAATCACTCCTGGCTTCCGCCCACTCAGCTCTTCTTTCTTTGGGCTGTGCCCTCCTGAACTCTATTGACATGGAGCCCTCACCCCCAAGAATAGCTTCCAGAAAGTGCTGCTCCTCTGTGACTGCTGTCTTGTGAGAGGCAGCCCCGCCCTGCCCCAGAATTTTTAAGAAAAATGTTGCTGCATCTCTTCAGTTAACCATTTCCCCACCCCTCGCCCCCCACACCCTGCTATTTCATGGGTACACTGTGAACTCTCCATGCATCCAAAGCTACGGTCCTCTTAAAGCCTAGCGTCCAGCTCCGTGGAATGGTGGTTGCTGCTGAACCTCCCAGTGGGTTCCAGCTTTGAAGATCAAGGCTGCAATGAGTGTATCCACGACTCTGAACGTCTAGGCCTTTTTCTTCTCTTCCACATTGGCCTCAGCCTGCCTGAAGTTTTGCTGTTCTAGCAAAATGTCTGGCAGAGCCGTAGGTGGTGGTGATGTCTGTTGCTCAGCACATATTTCCATTGTCTGCCTTCTCATTCCTTTGGGAAAATTCCTCCTTGCTCCCGGCGATCCTCCATGGGCTACCCTGACAACTTCCGGTACAGGCAAAGGCACGTGACCAAACTGGCCAATCAGAGCACCCCTCACTGCTGGCCTCCGTGATGACCCAATCAGTTTCCTCCGTCCATTTCCCTCAGCCCCGCCCCAGCCCCAGGCACATCACCTCTGTCCACACGTCTGAGACAGCCTTCCCTCTGCTCCCCTGCATGCAGGGCTATGCAGCTGTCACCCTTCCTCAGACAGCTGTGCATTTTCCTTGCCATTCCTGTATGTAAGGGCATCCGTGGTGACTCCCGGCTTCTATGTCTAAAGTCCTATCTCTCCAATCTGCCACCTAGCGCCCAGGAGACCTGGATCCCCCTAACCTCTCCAGCCTGGGGCTCCCCTCTCTCTTTAACACATACTTATTCCTTGAAGACTGTAACTCTTCTGGATTTTTGAAGATGTCCTGCATTTTCTAGCTTCCCTCCTCTGACCATCCTTTTTACAAGTCTCACCTGCAAGCGGTATAGGCCCAAGTCTTACCTAAGCTCTAAACTGCTGGCTCCCAAACCTCTTCCCGCACCCACAGGGAATGATCAATTCCATCTTCCTCGGGGCTCCCTAACATGCTGGTGATTTTCTAACATTTTTGCCTTCCTTGGAGATAACTGGTTACCAAGGAGCAGAAACCTCTTTCAGCCAGCTCAAGTAAGCGGGATGGGCAGTGGATGCCGTAAGGGCATGGAGGTCTCGGAAAAAGCAACTCATGGAAATAGAAACTAGGACCAGGCCAGAGGCAGAAGCACTGGTCCGTAATCCCAGCAACTCCAGAGGCTTTAACAGGATGATCACCAGTTCAAGGCCAGCCTCAACAACTTAGACTGTCTCAAAATCAAAAAATAAAAAGGGATGGGGATGTAGCCTAGTGGTAAATGGTAAAGTGCCACTGAGTTCACCCCCCAGTAGGTGGGGGAAAAAACCAAATAAACAGAAACTAGGACCAGGGAAGCTGCCAGGGGTGAGTGACTCTCCATATCTATACTGCTCCCCAGGGTCTAAACCAGGGCCTGGTATGTTGTAAGCAGGACAAAACAAGCTAAAAACATGTTAGCACTTAATGTGTAACACTCAGAGATTCATGTTTTCGTATTGTTTAATTTCCCAACATCCCAAAGAATTGGTACTATAATTTCCATTGTACAGATGAGGAAATTAAGGTAGTATTTCGCCTGGATTGGCACAGCCAGTGAGTGGGAGAACTGGGGCTTGAATACAGGCATGTTTTAATGAATATATTAATTCACAAATAAGCAGAAGTGACTTGGGGTCATCCACTCTAGACTCCCACCTCTACCTCGGGATCTCAGATCCACCGGGTCCTGGAGGCAGCTGGCTGTTTTCATCTTACACATCTCCAGAGTGAACCCCCAGTGATTTTATCCTACTTCCAACTTTGGGTATTTCTTCCTTGTGTCCAGTGATAATTTTTTTTTTTTTGGCTTTGATTTAAAATCCCTTTAATTTTGTCAAGGTTTCTCAGACTTGAAACCAACTCTTGATTAACAGAGTCACCTACTCCTTTTGCAACCCACTGTGAAGTGGAATTTAAAATTTCCACTTAATAGATTAGACTCTTAAGGTCTAAGAAGGAAAAGCAAGCCACCTAAAGTCACACAGGCTGGATGTGGTGGACCAGGGTCTCTGAATGACGGTGCGGCCAGTCTCTACATACACCTCCATTAAAGTGAAGGCACAGTGGCCTGCCTGGGACCACGGAAAGAATAGACTTGGTTGTTTCCAAAATGGATAAGAATGAAAGGGGACAAATAGTGAGACCAGGAGAGCCACACCTGAGAGGGGAAGAGCCGGCTCAGGTTCAGGGAGAAATGCATAAGGGTAGGGGTGGGGAGCACAGGGATCAGCCTGAAGACAGGGGAGAATGAGGAGAACAATAACATGAATTCTCCAAGTTCTTCGGCATGGCCTACAAGCTGACCAGATAGTTATGTTAGAATAACAAGCCTTGAACTAGTATCAGCCCAGGCTAACGGGGACATCTGGTCACCCTGCCTAAAGGGCAGCTCTTTCTTTGTGGTCTACCTCATTTCTACCTCTTTGACCCTTTCTCTCCTCACTCTCCACCCTCATTTATTATGCTCCAACCATATTGTGTTCTTGCTCTTCCCAGACTGTTTCATGGCTGCTTTTCTTGCCATTAGGTCCTCAGCTCCAATGTCATCTCCGAGAGAAGTTTTCCTGACCTGCTGATACAAGTAGTCTCTTACCTCCAGTCACTCTATGTACCGGTTAGGTATTGCTGTGTAACAAATAAACCCCAAGTTTCGTGGCTGAAGAAGACAACAACAGTTATTTTCTGATGTTTTACAGGGTTTCTGTGGATCAGGAACTTGGGAAGGGCTAGGCAGAGTGAGCTGGCTCAGGATCTCTGATGGAGTTGGAGTCGTTGTGCTTGGAGCTGGCCTAGTGGAGGGCTGGGCAGCTGGAGACTGGCGGAGCAGCTCTTTCTTCCTGAACATGTGTCCAAGGACCTCTCTACAGGGTGTCTCAGGTGAGACTCATTTGATCCTCTTTAAAATGTGGCAGCTTCAGGACAATTGGATTGCTTTCCTGACCCTTGGGGCTCCCCCTCCTTCATGACCTGCCTGGAGGGTCTTATAACTTTCCTCCCCCCTATATTCTATTAATTATAAGTGATCACAGACCTTTCCAGATTCAAGTGAAGGGGAATTAGACTTTTCATGGAGTCTTTAATTATGTCTTTTAAATTTTATTTTTAAAAATTGTCTGTTCTTTCTCTTCTACTCCCACCCTACTAGAAAATAAGATCCATGGAGGAAGAGACTCTTCTGTCTGGTTTCCCTCTGTATTCCTAGTGCCTATTTTGTAGAAGGCACATAAAATTTTTTATAGGAATAATAAGTGAAGTTCTATGATGTCCACCCGAGACCAAGACAGCCTCTGAGGTGGCCACAGCTCTAGTGTGTGAGCAGCTACTTAAAAGGAATCACTGGAAACTCAAAGATATTTTTAGGGTTGCTTTGTGCAATGGGGTCCCTGGGCTGAGCATCCTAAAACCCAGGATTCTTTTGCCCCTCAGCTGCCCACAGTTCACATTTGAGGCTCCCAGAGAGACTAGCGTCCCCAAGATCTGCCTCCAGCTTTGCCTTGGTTTGCAGAAACTTCTAGTGAAAGACACCTATTACTTTCTCAGGAATCCTGATTCAGGGGAAAGTGCCCATCAACTCTGGCTTATAGACTTTCTATGAAACAATTCTTGCTAGTCTTTTGGGTCTAAAAGAAAATTTCACTGAAGTTTTTATATAGAGATCCTCTATAAATACCACCCTGAAATAAAAATAAAAAACAACAACCCCAAAACCCACTTATTAATTATCGTTCTCCAGAGAGAGAGAGAACCAACAAAATGGTGTGTTATTATTATTATTATTATTTTTGTGTGTGTGTGTATGTGTGAAGGGGGTGGGGTTTTAAGGGGTTGGCTCACCTGACTGGGGTTGTGGATCCAGAATCTGCAGGAGGGGCTGGCAGCCTGGAGACGCAGGAAAGTCAACAGTTCAGGTCTAAAGGCATTTGCTGGAAGAACACCCCCTTTCTCGGTGAGATCAGTTTTTGTTCTACAAGGCCTTCAACTGATTGGAGGAGAACACTCACTGTGGAGGGTAATCAGTTTTAATCACACCATTCAAGTTAAAACTTAACAATTTAAGTGTTGATTTATCCAAAAACATCATTATAGAAAGGTCCAAAATAATGTTGGACCAAACATCTGGGTCCTGTGGGCTAGCCAAATTGTCACATGAAATCTTCCATCACAAAGGATCAATGCAGGGGTTAGAACTGCAGAAAGACCCAGCCCTCCTTATAGAATTGAGATTCCACCTGGGAAGCAAAAAAAAAAAAAAAACTGCCTAACGGTTCTTCAATGTATAATCTAGAGCAGAAACAAAACAAAATTAACAAGCTAACAACAACAATAAAGCCAGCAGATTTCATGTCCTCGGGAAGCAGGTGAAGGAGCGTGTGGCTCTTTCTGAGGGGGTGAGAAGGCTCTTGTGGGTGGTAGTTGTGGAGTCTGGCCCTGTGATGTGAGCAGGGTGCAGGAGAGCAGGGTTAGCCTGACCCAGGCAGAGGGCACAGAGGGGGTGTGGCACAGTCCTGGGGGCCGGAGAGCAGGACTTGAGTCTGCAAAGAAGTTGGAGCCCACCAAGGCAGTGTGGTTGGATAGTGAAGGCCCCACGGGGGTCTCACAACCAGACGGATTGATTGCTGAACACAGACTTGGATTCTTAGAAGTGTCACAACGCTTTGCAAAGTCACATAAACTCACAGAATGCTGGTGTTGGCAGCTGAAGAAAAAAGGAGAGATAATCCTATTGTGTTTGTTTCTTGTTAGGGACATAACAAATTAACGCAGCACAGACTCAACGTCACACAGTTCAGAGGTCCAGAGGGAGTCTGCTGAGGCAAAGATCAAGGTGACAGCAGATGTGCCTTCTGGGAGGGGGATCTTTTCCTCCCGCTTCTCAGTGCTGGCCATCCTTGGCTTATCCAACTTCCGAGTCCGTGGTCTGTTTCCTGCCTGACTCTGGCCCTCCTGCCTCCTCCTGTAACGACTGTCTAGAGGACACGAGGGCCACGGCAACACCAGCAGCATCCTCCATCTCAGCCTTGACGTACTTGGGACTGCAAAGGGACTTTCATCATGTAAGGTGACCCCAGCACACATTTCAGGATTAGGATGTGGATGTCTTTAGGGGACCTTATTCTGCCTACCACACCCGTCTCCTTCTCCTAAAGATTAAAGGAGGGGATGTGTGGAAGTGCCTGGCACAGGATACCTCCTCTGTAAGTGACAGATGTGACTGTTCTTATAAAGAATCGCAAATCCACGATAAAAGGCTGAGAGGAATTGGGCATGAATGGAGAGAAGACTGACTCCAAGTTTTAAGACTAGGAGCAGCAATGCAGGGTTGGCCGGATTGGGAAGCAGAGAGGGAAAGATGTAAGCTTGGAACTTTTCCTTCCTTCCTTCCTTCCTCTCTTTCTAACAATGAGACTTAATTCTCCCAAGATGTGCCAGAAATGTGGCAGAGTGAGGCCAAATTTCCTGTCTTCCTTCTTTGTTGCTTTGGGTCTGATCAGCACTCTCACACCTGCCCACAGTCTCCGCAGTCTGATAACCTGGCAGGCAACGGTGGCAGGCCTGGGCCCCAGCACGGGGCCTCTCCGTCCAACCCTGTTCACTACAGG